TATATATATATATATATATATATATATATATATATATATATACACATCGTTCCTCTTTATCAGGATGTCCACATGACGACTCTGATGTCTACACTCATCTCCAGGCCAGCAGTCACTCTTACAGAGATGAAGATGTTCACATCCTGGATAGAGAGGAATGATGGTTTGAGAGAGGAGTAAAGGAGGCCATCTTTGTAAAAATATATCGTCCATCAATAAACAGGGGTGGAGGCCTCCGTTTTCATCTGTCCCCCTCTTGCAACGCTGTTATTGCTAGTTTCACTCAGCCCCCTGTGAATAGCAAACAGCCATCAGTGTGCTAATGATCCATCGTTACGCTGGTGGTCCTCCTAAATCATGTGAGCAGCTGGTTTTGGCTGTCAGCAGCAAACTGTTTGATCCACTATGAGAAGGTGCTATTTATAAGACTGAGCTGAAAACAGCACCTCAGACTGAACAAGTCTTTCAGATGAAAGACAAAACGTTTCTACATTTTTCTTTAGTTTGTTTTGCTTTGTTTTTTGAATGTCCAGAGGACCAGACTTACCTTTTTTTAGGTTATTTAATAAAGTCAAAATTGTTTAGTTGTACGTTTGTTCAGCTGTTTATTCACTCAGTCATTTATTTGTCCAGTCAATCAGTTTTTTATTCGGTTATCCCACATTTTACGGCTCGAATCTTGAGTTTTGTAAAGCTGTGTGGACGTCCTTCCTACAGGCGTCCTGTCTCTGTGGCTCCGCCTCTTGCCTCCTGTCGTCATGCTGCCCCTCCACATACAACTCTACCATCAGCCGGCTGGCCTTCTCTTTCCTCCTGCTGCTGGGAACACTGGTGTCTATCATTATGATCCTGCCAGGCATGGAGGAACATCTGAAGAAGGTACAAAGGCTCATTTGGTCTCCTTTACTTGTGCACCATTTAAGGTTATTTGTTTTTATTGGTGTAACACACAACATGGATACAGGAAATATAAGGTTACTTATGCTGTGAATTGTCCCATCTTCTGTAGATTTTTCTGAAATGTTTTGTCTGTTTTTCCTTATCATCCTCATTTATTGGTGTCCTATGACATTATTAGATTCCAGGTTTTTGTGTGGGTGGTACCAGCATACCTGGCATACAGGGCCATGTGAACTGTGATGTCATCGTGGGCTACAAGTCAGTTTACCGTATGTGCTTCGCCATGACCTGCTTTTTCTTCCTCTTCGCCGTCATCATGATTCGAGTGCGCAGCAGCAAAGACCCACGAGCCGCTGTGCAGAACGGGTTTGTAGAATGGGCTCCATGTTCTGATAATACACTGCATCTCAAGCATTGTGCACATTGTGGTACATAAAAATACACTATAAAGACTTACAAAATGTTTATTTTGAAAACATTCCAAGTAAACAATGCGTTTGTATAAAAATAAATAAAAGCGACCCATTTGGATGATATTTTAAATAAACGGCACTCTTTACAATAAATAAACTACTAACAATAATAAAAATCTTAATAAATACAATAACAGTCAGAACCAGAACAATAAGTAGCAACAGACAGTTTACAATCTAACTAATCAAGTTTTAAGTTTTTGTCCAAAAAGACCAACTTGTCCACATTTTCTGTCAAAAGCACAGATCTAGTTGCAGTGAATATCTCCAGCGCTGGAGAAAACCACTCACTAACAACAGATGGCAGTAATAAAGAGGTAGAGCTTTGCTAAGAAAAAGTCCATGCTCAATAATCCAGGTATACAATCCAACAACTTTCGGTGTCGTATACAAGACAGTCCGTTGCCGGGCAGTTTATTGTACGACACTGCGTACACGGTTGTAAAAATTGAGCTTTGCGCGGACATGCCCTGCGGAGGTACGCGCGTACCTCATACTGGGGGCTTAAAACCGTGGCTTGAACAGTGCCGGGTGATATGCAGTCCTTTGAAGGAAAGTTAGGATGTAAATTTTTCTTGTTTTAATACTAACTTGACTCTGTTGTCTCAGATTCTGGTTCTTCAAGTTTCTGGTTCTGGTTGGTATAACTGTGGGAGCTTTCTTCATTCCAGATGGCACCTTTAACACAGGTATGAAGCGTCGGGATGTGAGGCGGTGCTCATGTACTGGTTTTAAGATTTATGCCTGTAAGTTTGTTTGTGACACTTATCCTGAACGGTCTGTCTTCAGTGTGGTATTACTTTGGTGTGGTGGGATCCTTCATCTTCATCATCATCCAGCTCATCCTACTTGTGGACTTGGCTCATTCCTGGAACCAGTCCTGGCTGGAGAAGGCGGAGAATGGAAACACTAAGGCCTGGTTCGCAGGTAGAGAAGCAGCACGCTCACTTTACAAATGCTTTATCGAAGTCCTTCAAAGAAACTAGAGAAGTTAGCATTTTCTGTAAAAATCAAATGTGCTAAGAGCTGAATGATTGCTAAAATTTACTGGAGAAGCAGAAACCGAGTTCTTTAGAGAATAGAGGTTTAAAAAAAGCAAATGGTAGCTGAAAGTAGCATAAGAGGACAAAAGTAGAGCTGAAGCAGATTTCAGTGAGAAATGATTTTGACATAACTGAAGAGATTTCAATGTAATAGTAATATTTATTCATCCATCCATCCATCCATCCTTTATCTTTACCCACTTCTTCCTTTTTGGGTCACAGGGGTCACTGGTGCCCATGTCCAGCCATCACTGTGTGAGAGGCGGGGGACACCCTGGACAGGTCGCAAGTCCATAACAGGGCCACATAGAAACAAACGAAACAACCACAGGCGTCGCAACCATTATATGTGATGGGGACGTGTTCCTCCCACATTTAAAAAAAACATTAATTTGGAGACTCCCCCCACACTTTTACTATGAAACATTAGTTCATTCAGCGCTCTATACAGGTCCTTCTCAAAAAATTAGCATATTGTGATAAAGGTCATTATTTTCCATAATGTAATGATAAACATGAATCTTTCATATATTTCAGATTCATTGCACACCAACTGAAATATTTCAGGTCTTTAATTGTTTTAATACTGATGATTATGGCATACAGCTCATGAAAACCCAAAATGCCTGTCCCCAAAAATTAGCATATCATGAAAAGGTTCTCTAAACAAGCTATTAACCT